ACCTCTGAACTCTGGGTCTTCGCTAACCGACTGACTGGGGTGCCGGGGAGAGGGCGGGGGTGGTGTGTTAAAGGGAAAGTCCTTCCTTTCCCCTTTCTTTGCTGCACAGATGCCGTGCTCGTGAGAGTGGGAGTCCTGCCTCCTAGAGCAGCCTGGGGGGGGCAGGAGGTTTTCCCAGGCTACTGGGAGGGGGCTCGAGCTGGTCCTGTTTGCTCTTGTTAAGAGCAAACCCTAGGGCCTGACCCTGGCCTTGGCTCCCGGCTCTGCCTGGCAGAAGGGTCTCACGAGTCAGAATGAAACGGATGCAATCCCCTGAGCTTGTGTGTACAATGGAGAGCCCCCCCCCCCCCCTGCACACAGGGTGCTCCCCCGCGGGAGAAGCAGAGACAAAAAGAACCGCAGCGGACAGATGTCAGGCACGTGGTGTAACGCACAGCTGGAGACGAGCATGCCTGGCTTCATACGCTTAGTATTACAGGTATTACGGCTGCATCTTGAGGCCCTGACCGAGATCGGGGCCCCGTCGTGCCGGGCGCTGCCCAGACCCCGACCGAGACCAGGGCCCCGTCGTGCTGGGCGCTGCCGAGACCCTGACTGAGATCGGGGTCCCCGCTGGGCCGGGCGCTGCCCAGACCGTGACTGAGATCGGGGTCCCCGCTGGGCCGGGCGCTGCCCAGACCCTGACTGAGATCGGGGTCCCCGCTGCGCCGGGCGCTGCCCAGACCGTGACTGAGATCGGGGTCCCCACTGGGCCGGGCGCTGCCCAGACCCTGACTGAGATCGGGGTCCCCGCTGGGCCGGGCGCTGCCCAGACCCTGACTGAGATCGGGGTCCCCGCTGCGCCAGGTGCTGCCCAGACCGTGACTGAGATCGGGGTCCCCGCTGGGCCGGGCGCTGCCCAGACCGTGACTGAGATCGGGGTCCCCGCTGGGCCGGGCGCTGCCCAGACCCTGACTGAGATCGGGGTCCCCACTGGGCCGGGCGCTGCCCAGACCGTGACTGAGATCGGGGTCCCCGCTGGGCCGGGCGCTGCCCAGACCCTGACTGAGATCGGGGTCCCCGCTGGGCGGCGCTCAGCCGTGACTGAATCGGGTCCCCGCTGGCCGCTCCCAGACCGTGACTGAGATCGGGGTCCCCGCTGGGCCGGGCGCTGCCCAGACCCTGACTGAGATCAGGGTCCCCGCTGGGCCGGGCGCTGCCCAGACAAAGAGCATGAGACAGTCCCTGCTTCCAGAGAACTCACAATCTAAATAGAGAAAGGGAAGGGAATTATAGTCTCTCCACAAATGGGGAAACTGAGGCACAGAGAGGCAGGTGCTTGCCCAAGGTCTCACAGGGACTCTGTGGCACAGAAGAATTGAAGCGAGATCCCCCGAGTCTCAGCTCGGGGCTTTTACCACAAGGCCTTCCTCTCAGCCCCCTTACAGGTGGACTGGGCGACCCAAAGCCATATCCTGGCTGGATTGCCCAGTGCCTGAGTGCTCGAAGCACCAGCCGTCGCTTTGGTCTGATCCAAACCTGCTCTCGGCTGCGCCCATGTTTAAACAACGCCGGCAGCCCCAGATAAGAACCGTATCCACCCAGCGCAGGTTACAACCCCCCCGGGGAAATACAGCCCAGCCGGCCTGAAACCAGCCAGCGTAAAGCCTGGGATCCCCATAGAGCTTTCGGCCAGAGCGGGATTGTTTTGTCGGAGTTCCCGCAGACCCTCTCCCGGCTGACGTCCGAGAGACGCCTCCACAGGACCCGATGGGGTGCGGAGATGCAATGACTCTTCTGCTGCTGGTCTGTATTTCAGGCCTGATCTACCTCCTCGTGCGCAGGCCGAGCTCCCGAAGAAGCCACTTGCCCCCCGGCCCCGCTCCCCTGCCTTTCCTGGGCAACGCGCTGCAGCTGAAAGCGGAGGGGATGGTGAATTCGCTCAGGAAGGTAGGTCACGTCCGCCGGCGTCCCGCGTTTGCTCTTCCCAGGGGGAGGTTAGGAGCCTGCTACTGCGGCTATGAAAGAAACCCTGGCATCCTCCCCCGCCACCAGGAACCATTCCCGCACGAGGAGAAGTGTTTGCAGCAGTATCCCCGGCTCACGCTCTCTCCCTGGCGCTGCGGGGCGGCACGGCATCTGGGTGTATTTCCCCCCTTATTACGTAGGCCCGGGAACCCCAAACAAAGCTCAGGACCCCGGTGCGCTAGGCGCTGTACGTCCAGATCGCGCGGAACACCGGGCACCGATGCATTCGGCCCTGAGGGCCCCGCATCTCATCGGTGCTTCTGGGCATGGGCTGGAAGGTGCGACAAGCCCGCCTCAGAATCAGCCCATTAACGATTGCTAAGGAAAGCGGTGGTGCAGCCGAGCGCCGTGAGCAGTCTAGTCGGCCTCGCCGTGCGAGCACCCCGCTATAGTTCGCGCCGGAAGAGCAAGCGATGCTGATTGCCCAGAGGAACGGGGCTATAGAGGAGAGAAAGGAATCGGGATTCTCTGCCACCGTCCCCCTTCCAGGCCTTAGGCGCCCTGACGTCTCGCCAGCTTTGCGTGCTGTGCACAGGCTGGGGTGGATATTTGGGGCAAGGAGAGCTTTAGGGGTTGGGTGGGGTGAGCGGGCGCGGGGGAGGACACGGGGCGGTTTCTTGTGTACATAAATAACCGTGAAAGGATTTTTGCACGGTTCCCCAGCCCAGCTGGGCGGCGGCCGCATGAACAGGGTGCCAGTGAGAAAGCCGATTGATCTGCTCAGCGACTGCAAACCAGGGGTGTCACTTCAGAAAAATGCGGGGGGCGGGAATTTGTGTCGGCCTGTAGAACTTGTCATGGGATCAGATTGTAGCCTGCAAAGTCTGGCGGGGGAAGAGGGCAAAACGCGGCACGTGCAGGCCTATGAAAAGCTGGGCATGCGTGCAAAGAAAGGTCTGGGGAGGAGGGAAGGGGGCAACTGCCCCCACCCCCATCCCCTAGCAAATCACACCCCTGCAACAGACTAGCGCATGGGGATGGATTCTGCTCTCAATTCTGTCCCCGCCCTGATTTCTACCGCAGCTCAGGGACAAGTACGGCCCGGTCTTCACGGTTCATCTGGGCCCCCGGCGGGTTGTGGTCCTGTGGGGGTACGAGGCTGTGAAGGAGGCCCTGGAGGATCAAGCCGACGAGTTCAGCGGGAGAGGGAAGCTTGCGGCCTTCGAAGAGATTGTCCAGGGGTTTGGTGAGTTCTGCAGGCCACATATGAGGCATGTGGTCTGATGGCTGGGAGCCAGGACTCCTGGGTTCTATCCCCAGCCCTGGGAAGGGAGAGGAGTCTGGGGTTACAGCAGGTGGGGGCTGGGTTCCAGTCCCAGCTCTGGGAAGGGAGTGGGATCTAGTGGTTAGAGCAGGTAGGGGCTGGGAGCCAGGACTCCTGGGTTCCATTCCCACCTCTGGGAGCAGAGTGGGGTCTGGTGGTTAGAGCCGGGAGCCAGGACTTCTGGGTTCTGTCCCTGGTTCCGCCACTGACTCAGTGAGCCAGCTGGGGCAAGTCCACCTGGGTCTCCTTTCCCCCAGCTACAGACTCACCGGGGGGGCTGTGAGGTCACTGAACGCCTGTTGCTCACGTGCACAGAGCACCCTGGCGTGCCAGCAACGCGTGGTGTTCTCACCAGCGCTCTGGACAGCCAGCACGCCCCTGCCCACGCCCCTCCTGGCGGGCCAGTCCCCGCTCCCGGTTCCCCGGCCTGTGCCCTTGGCGGGATGCTTTGCACAACCCTCTGACCCCCAGGGCTGCTCTTCTCCAACGGGGAGCGGTGGCGGCAGCTGCACCGGTTCTCCCTCGCCGCGCTGCAGGACTTCGGCACGGGGAAGCGGAGCGCCGAGGAGCGGATCCAGGAGGAGGCCCAGCGCCTGGTGGAGGAGTTCAGGAAAACCAAGGGTTCGTCTATTTCTGGGTTCCTCTGCATGGTCGGGTCAGGGTCTGGGGAGCAGCTGCGGGGGTTCCCCGTTCATGCCCTGCGCCCCTCCCTGCTAGAAGCTGTCAGACATTCTGGTACCAAAGCCGCTGGACCGGGGGAATGTCCCATCCCCTCTTCTCCTTCCAGGTTCGCCCTTCGACCCCACGTTCCTCCTGAGCCGCTCGGCCGCCAGCGTCATCTGCTCCCTCGTCTTCGGCCAGCACTGCGATTACGCGGACGAGAGCTTCCTCGACTTGCTGGCCAAGACCAACCAGGTCTTCGTGCGGCTGAGCTCCACCTGGGGACAGGTGAGCGGCCCAGGGAGCCAGGGATAGGACCCAGAGCTCCCAGACACCCCCCTGGAGGAGGATCCCCAGGGGGCCACCCCTGCCCCCTTTATCCTGCAGGAGTGGGACAGAGACACCTGAGAATCAGCCCCACAGACTCATAGATGTGGGGCTGGAAGGGACCTCAAGAGGTCACCGAGTCCAGGCCCCTGCGTTCAGGCAGCACCAAATCAACCTAGGTTGACCCCGACGGGTGTCTCTCCAACTCGTTGTTAAAACCCTCCAGGGTCGTGGATTCCACAACCCCTTACATCACCTGTTCTTAACTCCCCTGAGAGCTGGAAAGCTTTTCCTAATCTCTAACCGAAAACTCCCTTGTCACCGATCAAGCCCTTTACTTCTTGTCCTACCCGCAGTGTATCCCCAGCCTCTTTCATAGAGTCATAGGGTTAGAAGGGACGGCAAGCAGGGGTGCCGGGGCGCCATGGCCCCACCACTTTTAAATAAGGGCGAGCGATGGGGGGGAGGGGGAGAGAGGAGCGAGCAGGGGCGGGGTCTGGGGGGGGGGAAGAGGCGGCCTGGGAGAACTGCAGGAAACAGGAAATATACAAGGAGATCAGACTGGAGAGTAATCTTCTGGCCTTGAAACCTCTGAAACGCTGGGGCTCGAGAGAAAAGCTGAGCAGGGAATGTCACACATGCGCCCCCCTGGTTTTCTCTGCCCTATGTATTATGCTCACAACATGCCAACAGAGAGGGGGGATAAAACCATCAGGCACTCGCGGGGAAGGTTGCAATGTAACCCCGTGGAGGAGGCTTCGGAACGATAACACACAAGAACCCGGACACACAGAGAGACAAAACAGGCGGCTCTTCCAGCACCGAGGCACAGCTCCCCTGCCCACGCCCGGCTGCCTGTGACCAGACACGTCCCTGTAGGGCCACAGGCCTCCCATCAGGATGGGGAAACCCCAGAGCATTTCAACACGGTTTTCCATACCTCACCCTGCAGCTCTACGAGATGTTTTCCTGGTTCATGCACTTCCTTCCGGGAGCCCACAAACGGATCTTCCGAGACCTGGAGGACATCAACAGCTTCATCCTGGAGAGGATCAAAGCCAACCAGGCATCTCTGGACCGTGATAACCCGCGGGATTTCATCGACTGCTTCCTCCTCCAGATGGAAAAGGTCTGGAAAGAGAGAAGCTGAGACGGACAGACGAGGCCCCAGTGTCCTTTGTTTCACACGTATGGTTCAGGCATCGCCATGTACTTCAGGGAATCAAAGCAAGTTTTTAAACTCCCCTTTGTCCTGATGCCCACAAAACACCTGACCACCATTCGGCAGCTTATGTGCTGGAACCATGGCCTATCAGGCTGGCCCACATGGCCCAGTGATCCCTTGTGTTCCCTTGATTCCCTTGTGTGCTCTCTTGCCTTATACTGAACTCTGAAGCTCTTTGGGGCAGCGTGTTTTTGCCTGACCCACAATTGGGGCTGGCTCGCGCTGTGGTAACACAAGTGAATAATGAATTAGTAAATATCTGAGTCCATCCAGGGTACCTTAGCACCTCCACTGTCTCTTAGTACCTCCAGGGAAACCTGGAACCTCCATGGTCTGATAGAGCTGATGTGGGTACTGTAACCCGCTCGGGCTCGGACACCCAGATTTAGGGATGCAAACCTTGATTTGAACCAAAACCATTTCTTGTGGTTAACAACTACTATTAAAGCAGAAAACAGGCAAAATAAACCAATAAATATAATGATCCGTTACCTTCTCCTGGGGCATAGGCAGGGTCGGGATGGATTGTTCCTCCGATGCTCCAAATACCCCTTTATACTTCAGCACATACGTACACAGCTGCCTGACGTATTCATGACCCTTCTCCCGGTCGCCATGATGCATTATATAGCTTCCAATCAGCATCGAACCCGGCGACACCCACACTGCATACATCACACCCATCTACGAGATTAACCGTTTCGTTGGTTAATTGTCATCACGCCTACCCCACCCAGAGAGAGCGACCGCGGAACGGAGGGCTGCTTGGTGCAGGGTTATTTTTCCCTTCTCTACTTTCCTGTTCTTGTCCTTCATGGCACTTTCTTGTTTATCTCAACTTCTTCTTCTGGCCACGGGCCTTGGGGGCGGGGGGGTGGGGGGACGGATCTCATAAACACACCAGCATCAGTTATTTACCAAGCAACTCACCCAGCTTTACCTCGGGTTCCTCCTGTGGTTTTAACAGACACTGATTTCCCCTCCGAGCCCGTAGACAAGTCCCTATGGAAATCCTCACCAAACCTTAAGACACATGGGGACTTCCCACAGGCTTAGGTCTGACCATTATCGTTCCAACATAACCCATACATTTCAGCTCTCCAACGGGGCCTCCATAGTAACCTAGACTCTCCTTGGTCCCTTACGGCCTCCATGGTAGCCTGGTGCCTCCATGGTAACTTGGCAACACCATGGCAACCTGACAACACCATGGCAACCTGGCACCTTGTGGCATCCGAGGGGCTGGGGGCATCAGCTCAGTCTCTCACCCCGTCCGCTCCAGATGGGCTGTCAAATGACTGTTTCAAAGGGGCAGCGGCCTGCTGGGTTGGGGACAGATCCAAAGGCCATTGAACTCCATGGGGCTATGCTGACTTGCCCCAGATGAGGATCTGTCCCTGTCCCCGTGATAACTCACATGTCCGCCTGTGCTTTCCAAGGAAATTCTCAACCCCGCCACGGAATTCCACCTCCGAAACTTGGTGATGACTGCGTTCAACCTGTTCTTCGTTGGGACCGAGACCGTCAGCTCCACCCTGCGCTACGGACTCCTGATCCTGCTGAAACACCCGGAGGTAGAAGGTAACTGAGTCGGCAGGAAGCTGGTAATTAGGTTACAAGCTTGGAATAAATGGGCCAGATCCCCAGGTAGCGTCAATGGGCCTCGCTCCCTTGACTCTGGTGGAGCTGAGGATCCAGACAGAATGGGTAGTAACTTTTGGCCCCCATCTGGAGTATTCAGACGTGGAATGAATTTGATGGTTCTCAGTCCCGTTCCTAGCACCCCTTACCCGTATGTTAGCATCTGCCACCCTTCTCAAGGGTCCCTCCGAGTCATACCTTGGTAGGGAGCTAGAGAGGCAGAAAGAACCGCAGGGTCTGTCTGCGTCCAGCAGCCTGAGTAGAGAATCCCCCGTGTAGTCACCCCAGCAGAGTTCTCACTCTTCTCCGCGGTGAGGGACCCAATGGGTGTCACTGGCTGGCTGACACCAGGGAACCCCCAGAGGGACACACTGGACTGAAGCTGCCTGGCCAATGGGCCAACCCTAGAGACCACCCCGCAGGCCCCCAGCCATGCTGCAAAGCAGGCTCTCAGACCGGGCAAGAACAAAGCCCTTCCATTCCCCGGCCCACGATGGGGCGTCCTGATGTCTCCAGCCCTGCCGTGTCCTATGTCCTGCTCACCTCTCTCTAGAGAAGATGACCCAGGAGATCGACCAGGTGGTAGGGCGCAGCCGTGTGCCGGCCGTGGTGGACCGGAGCCGGATGCCCTACGCCGATGCCGTGATCCATGAGATTCAGAGGTTCAGCGATGTTATTCCCATGAACCTCCCGCACGCCCTGACCCGGGACACCCACTTCAGGGGATACGCCATTCCCAAGGTAACAGCTCACAGTGTCCGTACGGGGACAGATTCCTTTCCCCCCTCCTCCCCGAATGTCAACCCGCAGTAACTGCACGGGAGCCAGCGTTACACCGACGGCAATCCAGGGTAACCAAGCGAAATTGTCGCCAAAGCAAGAGTGGATCGTTAGACCCATTTTGCAGAGAGGGAGACTGAGTCAGGGGCCGCTCCAGGAATAGAACCCAGGACTCCTGAGTTCCCATCCCTGCACTCTGCCCATTGTCTCTCCGCCTCTCTGCTGCCCAGGGCACGGAGGTGTTCCCGGTGCTGAGCTCTGTGCTGCGGGACCCCAGTCGCTTCAGGGACCCCGAGAGATTCGACCCCGGGCGCTTCCTGGACGAGCAGGGTCACTTCAAGGCGAACGAGGCCTTCATGCCATTCTCCACAGGTACGGAGTTGGGAGGGTGAGGGGACATCACAGGAGCCCGGCTGCCCCCCAGAGGTGGCTTCTGAGACACGGGGAAGGCGCCCCTAGTGGGTAGAGATAGGATGACACACCCGACAGAGACATTCCTTCTAACTCAGGGGTTCTCAAACTGGGGGTCGGGACCCCTCAGAGGGTGGCAAGGTTATTACATGGGGGGTCGCGAGCTGCCAGCCTCCACCCCAAACCCTGCTTTGCCTCCAGCATTTATAATGGTGTTAAATATGTAAAAAAGTTTTTAATTTAAAAGGGAGGGGGGTCGCACAGAGGCTTGCAATGTGAAAGGGGTCACCAGTACAAAAGTTTGAGAACCACTGATCTAGCCCATTTCAGTTACAGGTTGGCTGATGCAGGAAGGTTCGTATTCAGCTCCCATGGCAGTAAGAAAATGGGACCCTTGTCACATCAGGCGCTGCCCAGACTCCGACCGAGATCAGGCCCCCGTCGGGCCGGGTGCTGCCCAGACCCCAGCCAAGATCGGGGCCCTGTCACGCCAGGCGCTGCCCAGACCCCAGCCGAGATCGGGGCCCCGTCGGGCCAGGCACTGCCCAGACCCCAGCCGAGATCAGGGCCCCGTCGGGCCAGGCGCTGCCCAGACCCCGGCCGAGATCGGGGCCCCGTTGGGCCGGGCGCTGCCCAGACCCCGGCCGAGATCGGGGCCCCGTTGGGCCGGGCGCTGCCCAGACCCCGGCCGAGATCGGAGCCCTGTCAGGCCAGGCGCTGCCCAGACCCCGACCGAGATCAGGGCCCCGTCGGGCCAGGCGCTGCCCAGACCCCGACCGAGATCGGAGCCCTGTCAGGCCAGGCGCTGCCCAGACCCCGGCCGAGATCGGGGCCCCGTCGGGCCGGGCGCTGCCCAGACCCCGGCCGAGATCAGGGCCCCGTCGGGCCGGGCGCTGCCCAGACCCCGGCCGAGATCGGGGCCCCGTCGGGCCGGGCGCTGCCAGGCTCTGCCCAATCACAGAGTGAGAGACGATCCCTGCCCCACAGAGTTCAAAGTCTAACTTGGGTTAAAAGAGGCGTGAGCAGGCAGCAGCTCGGATTGGCAGCTACGGTCTCTCAGGTTCCCTAGGGGCTTTAAGGAGCTGCCGTGTCTTTCCTGTGGTTTTATCCTGGGGCTCGTCTACACAGTTCTCCCACCGGCGCAGGAAATCCGCCTCCCCGGCAGGTGGGAGCTGCTGACGGAAGAATTTGTCCCTCGACCTAGTGCTGTCTGACGCAGGGCCGTGGGCCGGCTTAGCTGTGTCACTCAGGGGGGTGGATTTTTCACACCCCTGAGCGCCGGAGCTAGGTCAGTCTTATAGCGCAGACCAGCCCGAAGTTACAAACATATCTTATTTTTTGTCTGAGGCCATGCAGCAAAGCCAGGAAGAGAAACCCGTGCTCCTGAAAGCTCCTTGCCCACTAGCCCAGCCTGCCTCTCCCTTAGCTTCCCCTGCTAGCTCTCAGCCTCTTCCCTACCATGCTCCTCTCCCAGCCCACAACGTGGGAGGGAGGGGTGGTAGCGATTTACGGTATTATAAAGATAATCAGGGCGGGGCGTGGTTAATTTCACCCCTTGTTTTCCTCCCTAGGGAAGCGGATCTGCCTGGGCCAGGAGCTGGCCAGAATGGAGCTGTTCATCTTCCTGACGGCCATCCTGCAGAACTTCACCCTCAAGTCCCCCGTGCCCCCCCGGGACATCGAGCTCAAGCCGCCAGCCAGCGGCTTTGCCCACGTACCTCCCTGCTACCAGCTCTGCGTGGTGCCACGCAGCGGAGGGAGCCAGGCGAAGGAGGAGCGGCCCAAAGATCGTCCGCAGGGGACAGCGGGGGCTCCGCCGAATCACACACCCCCAGCAGCCAGCCCAAATGCAGGGCCTGGGGTGCTATTCCCGTGAGGAGGAGCAATGGAAGAGAGGAATCCGGTGTTTCTTCGATGCTCTGTTTATTTGCAAATGTATCAAGCCCCGTCTCCCCAACCACAGAAGGAATCAAATAACAGGAGGGGGTTTCTTTGCTCAGAGCTCCACTCCTCTTCGCAGACAGCCCTCGGCCCCAAAAACTCTCCCTTTTTCTCCGGGCCACACTCCTAGGGCTTCCCCTGGCTGTCTCCTCGCCTTTTTGCTCCTGCTCTGTGCCTATTTCTTGCTGCTTCGCTCTCACACAGAGCCACAGATGGATAGGAGTGTGCGTGTGGGGACAGAGAGATGCATGGTCTAGTTATTACGTCACCCTGCCTTGAGTGCAGGGGACTGGACTAGATGGCCTCTCGGGGTCCCTTCCAGTCCTACACTTCTATGATTCGATGCATATGGGGGGTGGACGGGTGCACGTCATGATGAACAGTCATAGAAATGTGGGGCCGAGGTCACTGAGTCCAGCCCCCTGTGCTGAGGTAGAACCAAGTAACCCGAGACCAGCCCTGACAGGGGTCTGCCCAAACTGTTCTTAAAACCCTCCAGTGACAGGGATCCCACAGCCTCCCTCGGACGCCTGTCCCGGAGTGTCACTCCCCCGAGAGTTCGAAAGTTTGTCCTCGTATCGAACTGAAATCTCCCTCGCTGCAGATGAAGCCCCTGACTTGTCCTGTCCTCAGTGGACACGGAGAGCCATTGGTCACCGTCCTCTTTATACCACATGCTCAGGTCCCCACTGGGCGCAGTCTGCTCTGCTCAAGAGGAAACAGACGCTTTTGTCAACCTTTCCTCCCAGCTCAGGTTTTCTAAACCTTTTCCCCTTTGTCCTGCCCTCCTCTGGACTCCAATTTGTCCTCATCTCTCCTAAAGGGCAGCCCCCAGACCTGGACACAGGGCTCCAACCGGAGCCGAGCACAGGGGGACAGTGACCTCCCGCCTCTGACATCCGACATGCCGGGCAATACACCCCACAATGAGATCGGCCATTTTCATAACTGCATTGCGTCGTGGGCTCAGATTCATTCGAACCCCCGGCGGCTTTCCAGCAGTTCGGCCACCCAGCTGGTTCCCCCCCAGGCTGGAATTTTTCCTCCCTACGTGCGGTACTCTGCACTTGTCTGTATTGAATTTCATCTGGTTGATTTCAGACCAATTCTCTCATTTGTCGCGGTCGTTTTGAATTCTCATCCTGCCCCCAAAGTGCCTGCAACCCCACCTGCCTGGGTGCCACCCGCAAATTCTACACCAAGCCCGGGCCTGCCATCTCCAAATCATTAACGAACGGTGGAATGGCACCAGCCCCAGGACCACCGCCAGGAGGGCTCGACGAGATCCACCCTCCCCGTCTGACAGCCAAGCCTCGATCATTTCTGGCTGCGAGTGATCTTTGAATCAGATGGGCACCCGCCTCATAGTAACTTCATCCAGGCGGCGTTTCCCTAATTTGCTCATGAGAATGTCAAAAGCCAAGATCTCTCCCGTCTCCTGTTTCACCCAGATGCGGAGTAAGGTTTCCTGGGGCCCTGGCAAGTGGGAGGCCCCTCCCCTCCCTTTCCATCTGTGGTCCCGCCCCCATTCTGCCCCCTCCCCATGTGACCCCGCCCATGGCCCCACCCCTTTCTGCCCCTTCCCTGGAGTCCCGCCCCTGTTCCACCCAGGGTCCCCCCCATTCCACACCCCCCAAGACTGGAGAAGCTCTGTCTCCCTGCCACAGCCCCAGGCCACAGTGGGGAGTGAGAGCTCCCCCAGCCCTGGAGCCGTGGCAGGTAGCGAGAGGACCTCCAGTCCTGGGGCTGCAGCGGGGGCTTCCCCTGCTGCCCCCAGCTTCTGCCTGGGACAGAGTCGGGGGTCCGCTTCCTGCACTGCCATGCCTGCCCCGCCCCCCCAGCGCTGCTGCTGGGGAGCAGGGTCAGGGCATGGGGGCTTTCCCCGCCCCGCCAGGGCTCTGGGGCCTCCCAGTTGGCCGGAGTCCCCGGGCACGGGCGCCAGAGGCTGATCTGCTTCCCCCCATCCACTAAGCCAACAACCCTACCAAAGACGGAAATTAGACAGAGGTTAATGGAGTTACAACCCCTCCTACCCGCAACCCAGCCCATTTTGCTTAGCACCCAGCTGGGCTCTTTCCCACTTCGGCTCGAAACGCCAGCTGATCCTTCGACATGCCCCAGCCTGAGCCACCACGGGGGAGAGAATCTGCTCACCCAATGACCGTGCAACGCTCAGCCATGATCCAGGCGCATCCGCTCTGCCCCGTCGGCTGCCGATGGCCCCAGTGACTGAGCGAGGGTGGAACCGTGCACCAGGAAGACGGGCAGCCGCTGCTGGCAGAACAGTTTGCTCGCAGGGTTGCCGAGTGGCTAGAGGGCTGGGATTCGGGAGACCTGGCTCTGCCCCCGGCCTTGTTCAGGAAAAGTTAGCACATGTACTCCATTTTGGTTTGGGGCCCACCATTGTCTAAAAGCAAACAGATCATGCACCAGGAGGAGTGTTCCCGCGATACTGCATTCCTGTGAACCCCCCCCCCCCACCCTTGTCTCCAGCCTGCCTTGACTCCCGGTATCTGTTCTTTCTCTGTCCCTAACTCCCTGTCTCCTGGCCTTTGATGTGAGGCCTCCCATCCTGATACTAGAAGTTACTGATGCATGGCTTTAGGACCATGCTGTGTAATTAACATACTAGTTTAGTACGAGGAATGCACCGAGCAGGGATAGGTGGTAGATAAAAAAAGGGTTTGTTTATTGGCTAAGGTTTCCGATGCACGAGGGCAACATGCTTTGCTAAAAGGTATATAACCTTTGTATAATCTGTATTCGGGGTCCCCTCCTGGCTAGCAGGGGGGCACCACGCTCGAGAGTAATAAACTTAGTAGGGGAAAAAAACTTAGTAAAAAAACTTAGTTTTTTGGGAACTCGGCAGTTGTGGACTTGGTTCATGTGCCTCAGCCTAGATTCAAACTGTGTGTGTCCTATCAGGTATAATTCGCAGCAGTTTTGTCCATGTCCTATCAGGTATAATTCGCAGCAGCCTGCTGGGTGACCTTGGGCAAATGACTGCCCCGCTCCATGCCTCAGTTTCCCCACCTGTAAAATGAGGCTAATCATTCTGAACTGCTTTGAAATCTACTGCTGGAAAGTGCTGGGGAAGAGCTTGGCATTACTGTTTCATCCTCTTCTGTGAAATCAATTAAAAAAAACATTCTGAAATGGTGCCTTTTCAAATAACTCGTGTATTGCGGGCTGTCAGCCTGGGGGGCGATGGACGTGGAGTAGGGCCTGGCCTGGAACCGGAAGCAGCAGCTCGCCGTGTGTATCCTCTAGATTCACAGAGGGACACCAGTGATCCCCCAGTGATCCGTGCTCAGCACAGCTAACAGGGAAAGGTTGTCTGGCCCCGGACACAGACGCACTGGCCCAGGAACCAATCCTCGTGCTAGTGATTAAGTAGCCTGGGGAGGGGGACGACTATTTTCCATGAACTGCCCCCCCTCCCCGGTCAAAAAATGCTGATTCGTCAAAATGAAACCGGTCCACAGAAATGTCTCTGTTCCTGTGACGCTTTCCTCAGGGCCAGGCTGGTCCGAACCAGAGCCAGAAGCTGAGCCCCTAAAACAGCCGATGGCTCAGAAGCCAGGACCCGCAGGTAAGAGACCCAGGTTCAAGACCCTGAATCAGACCGAACTGTGATTTCCACCTGGGTCTCCTAGGTCCAACCCCGGGGGTAGCCAGAGGGTGCTCTCCCCTGTGATTTTTCGTGAACAGTTTCCAAAGGCCTGGTTTCCATTCCGCCGCGGCGTGAAGGCAACTGTCGAACCTCGCCCTCTCTCACGCGGTGAAATTCTCGCTTTCCGGCCAGCCCGGTCCCGCAGCGACAGTCACTCGTTCGCTGGCCCCGGCGGGGGCCAGAACGGGCCGATTGCAGGGAGCGATTCACAGCAGGGCCCCTCCGGGAACCGCCTGGTCTGGTTTCCCGTTAGCGCCGCTCTTTTTTAACTCTTTCCGTTACCAGGCACCCGGGATTTCTATCCAGGACTGACCGTGGAGGGTCTCTTTGCACGGCTGGTACTGCTGTCTGAATCCCCTCCCCCCCGGTTGGAAAATTACAATGAAAATGAAACAAAAATTCTTGACATTTTCAGTGGGAAAATTCAACTTTCAGTCAACAAATATTTCCCCCCAATTTGGGGGGGTGTGTCTGAAAAAACAAGCTGTTGTGGGGGGACGCAGATGCTTGGTGCAGTCAGGTCTGTTCAGTGCACAAGCCGGTTTTCCTGTCAGGGGCAGAAGCTGTGGGAAAGTTCCCAGTTTGGGAGACCTGGGTGCGGCTCCAGGCGCGAGGGGCTGGGAATCCACCTCTGTCTCTGGGCTGTTCAGTTCCTGCTCCTTGCTACGTCTCCACCCGGGGAGGTGTCTACATTTCACTTCCTCTTCCTCGTTCCCGGGCACCCTCCCCATCCCCAGGGCGTCACCCTCTCTGACCATGGATCTCTGGCCGGGCTTCACCGTCCCGCTGATCCTGCTCACGGCCTTCTTGCTTCTTCTGCTGTGGAGGGGGCACGTGGCCAGGCAGAGGAACCTCCCTCCGGGCCCACGCCCGCTGCCCCTCCTGGGCAATTTGCTGCAGTTGTGGGGACCGTCGTTGTTACAATCTCTGCTGGAGGTGAGTTCAGGTCCTGAACTGATTTCTCCCCCTTCGCCCCAAGGAGCAGGAGCCGGCGGGCTGGAGACTTGCACGGCTCCGGGCTGATTCTCGTGAGCTTACACTTGGAGGCAGAGGGAGACACAACCCTGCCTACAGAGACACTCTCAGGCTCTCCGCCTGGCGCATCAGGGGCTGGCGGAGCCCCAGAGGGGAGGCTGCCCCCGGCTCTTCCTAGAACAAACCCCACCTGGGGGCAGGAGCTTCTCCTGAATGTGGCCTAACAGGCAAAGGGCCAAGCCACCCTGTCCTGCCACCCCCCTGCACCCGCATGGGCAGAGAGGCAGGAGGAGAGTCCTACAGGCCAGATGTTTGATTAGGCTCCCGGGCATGTGCAGATCTGTAGCTGGAGTAAATAGAGCTGTGCTGATTTACACCAGCTTAGGATCTGGCCCCAGGTGTGTCCTTTCTGGGGCTGCAATGGGACAGAAGCCCGAATGATTTTGGCTACAGAGCAGCCCTTACGGCTAATAGCTCGTCTGCTCAGCCATATTTAATATGCAGCCGTGAACGAGCTGCTTCCCTCGCTGGGTGTTATGTTGAGCTGGGTGGGGATATTTTCACGGGCAGTGTAGTCCCGTCGAGGCTCGGCACGGCCAGGCTGAATTAATCCCACAGCACAGTATGATGGTGGGAAGTTACCCCAGGCCGGGGTGGGTCGGCGGGACAGGCGCTGGGCTGGCGAGCAAAAGTTCTAACCCAGAGCGGATCCGAAACACGTTTCTCGGTTGGGTTGGGTTTTTCCAGCTTGTGGAAAATTTTGGGTTTTTGTCAAAAAGTGAAAAGCTCTGGGGCGTTGGCAATTGAAAACCATACCCAGCCCCACCCATCCAGGTTTCACAAATCTGCACATTTGTGTTTGGTCGAAAACAATCGGGGAAAATAACATTTCAATGGACGTTTTTCGACCAGCCCAATGCGTGGCTGTGGATGTACCAGTTTGCTTTGGTGCCTCAGTTTCCCTGTCTCTAGAACAGGGTCGGGGATAATACTCACCCGCCCGCTGCCACCCGGGGTTAATTAGCTAAACGTCGGGCCAGCGTACGCATGTGTAGGAGAGCCGCATATCCGAAAGTAACGGACGCTTCTCCGCTGCAGCTCAGAGACAAGTACGGGCCCGTGTTCACCGTCTACTTGGGGCCTCAGCGGGTCGTCGTGCTGTGGGGCTACGAGGCAGTGAAGGAAGCCCTGGTGGACCAAGCGGAGGAGTTTGGTGGCCGAGAGGGGTTAGCTCTTGTGGAGAGGACCAGCAAGGGCAATGGTAAGGAACAGTCTAGTTCACGGCATCATGGCAGCTCAGGTTGGGATTCAGCATCCTTGGACGCTGACGGAAAATCCAAAATGCACCCAGCTCTGGACCAAAGCACCCCGAGGTGAAATTCACACCTTTGAAAAATCCAAATTATACCCCTGGCCCCACCAGAGGTTTCACCCCACAAAGGAGCCTCGACACAGGGCCTGGAGTCCACTGGGGGCTTTGCTCCTGCTATCGATTTCCCCGGGGGGGCGCTCAGACACTGTCCTCGTGGGTGTCGGGGACGGAGAGACAGACAGAAAACCTGTGATTCTCCCCAACTGAGTCTGGGCCAGCCCCAAGCATTCAAACATTCATGAGCCAGCTGCCAAAAAAACCCTGAGGTTTTTTTTAAAGCCAAATCACCAGCTATTTAAAAAATAATGAATTTCAGGTCCTTTTCTTTCACCTCATGTTTTCTGAGTCTCTAGGGGTCAGCTTTTCAAGCTTCCCCCCCCCCCACACCCATTAAGGGTAGGAACTTCTTTAAATACAAGCTGAGGTTCTCAGCCAGTCACGGGACTCCAGGAGCTGGGGCTTTAAGGACAAACTCCCAAAGCCGCGAGAAATGGCAGCACGGCGTTTTACCCACGATCTCTTGCAGAAGAACTTTTCTCTGCAGCGATCAGCGGGGGAGCTCACTGCTGGGGCGGGGCTGAGACTCGAGCCCCGTTCACTGGGAGGCGCGTGCCCACAGAGTGCCTTTCTGTGCCCAGGGCTTTTCTTCAGCAACGGGGAGACGTGGCGCCAGCTGCGCCGATTTTCACTCACCACCCTGAGGAATTTCGGGATGGGGAAGAGGAGCATCGAGGAGCGGATCCAGGAGGAAATCCAGTTCCTGCTGGAGGAATTCAGGAAGACGGAAGGTATCCTGGCTTTGGTATTTCAAAGAACTGGGGTTGGTCCAACGTGAATTGTCTCCCACTGTCCCCCGCGTTCCTCGTCCCATGACTCCAGACTCCCGGGAATTCCCACCTCCTTTTCCCTGTGTTATGACTCCAGCCGGGGGGTTGCCCAGGGAAATTTTTGACCATAAAATATCCATTCAAAATGATGCTGCAGGGCCTCATGGGAATTGTAGTTCGGGTACCTCATGTTCCCATTCTCCTCTACAGCCTGGGCAATCTGGCCAGACTACGTCTCCCATGATGCATCACTTTCTCCCCTCTTGGTGGGGGTCATGTGTCAAAGCTGTGGTGCATCATGGGAGATGTAGGCCAGTCAGAGGGCCAGGCCAAGAGACAAGAAGCATGAGGCACATGGGACGGAAGCAGGAGACTCCACGGCACCAAAATATCAGCTTCAGCCGTGGGGGATCTGGGCAGCCCACCCCCAGCCCTGTGCCCCGCTCTCTGCGAAAGCAGAGAGGTCAGGAGCTCGGGGAGCGGCAGGCGATGGGAACAGAGAGAGAGGCTGGCGATGAGGTTGGATTTCAGCTGGAAGGAGCATGGGAACCAAGGCTTCAGGAGTGGTGGGGCACCGCCCAAGCAGAGGAGACTCAGGGGGCCTGGTGCTGACGCAAGCCATGTGCGCCTCCCCCGCTGCAGCAGCCCTGGGGCTGCTCTAAGTTACCGCCCCTACTGCCACGGTCATGCCACTGGGCAGGGTGGGATCTGTGGAGTGCAGACCCGCTCCAGCCATGCCCCTGGCATTTGAGGCTGGTGTGGAGGAGGTGCAGAGTCATCCGCATGCCCAGGCTCTCTGTGCTGGGTGGGGGGGCTTCCTTTGCCCCTCTAGCCCCATTGCGCCAGTGGGACCGAGCCCCACGACTAAGCGGCTCTCGGCCCTTGCTGCCAGGGACGCCCTTGGACCCCACCTTCGTGCTGCGGCGCTCCGTCTCCAACGTCATCTGCTCCGTGGTCTTTGGGGCTCGGTTCAGCTACGAGGATGAGGAGTTCCAGACGCTGCTCAGCCTGATCCAGGCGAACCTCCGGCGCGTGGACACTGCCTGGGTGAAGGTGGGTTAGCGAGGCCCGGCCGAGTTGGTCCTTTGTATCCCACCTGTAACCTCCCCCCAGGTGGGTCGTCAGCGGGGACTGGATCGGAGCGCTCCGGCCCCAAAGCGCAGGCCACGCTGCCGGTTGAACTAAAGGAGCAGCTCCCTCAGCTGGTAGCGGTAGTAGCTCATATCCACTCTGTGGACCAGCTGATAGAGGGGGAAAAGGACACATTTGATCAGCGCATACATTGTCGTGGCTCCCCAGACCTGGCCAAGATCAGGGCCCCGTCGCGCCAGGCTCCGTCCAGACCCCAGCCGAGATCAGGGCCCTGTTGTGCCGGGCGCTGCCCAGACCCCAGTCGAGATCTAATCCCGTCCTCCAACATGCCGGCGACTCCTGCCAGCTGGGTGTCACTGCCGATTTTCCAAGCACGCCCTCGGCTGCATTATCCCGGTCGTTAACGACTCGTCCAGCATCAAACAGGGAGTCCCCACTCGCCTGACCACGCCCCAACCCTGCCCCGCCCCCCCCCGCCCCCGCCCCCCCCGCCTCGTCTTCCTGCCCTGGAGCCATGGGCAAACACCCAGATACGCAGGCCCTGGCTTGAGCCATCCCAACTCTCTCCGCTTGCTTTGGAGTTTAGGGGTCCCCTCCCCCCTAGCTACACGCTGCTTGGTGCCCCCCCACGTGGCTTAGGTGCTCTTTAACCACTTCCCCCAGGCCCCACTTAATGCTCCCCAGGCCTAGGCATGGCTGAAGGGGGACCTCTGTGGTGCCCCAGGCCTCATATGGAGACCCCTGCTCCGGGGGGCTGGGGGACCTCGCCCCATGTGTGAGGAAATCACTTGGCACCCACTGCGACCCCTTCATTATGCCCGGCAGCTCTACAATCTCTTCCCCGCTGTCATGGACCACCTGCCCGGCCCGCACAACCGTCTCTTCGAGAACTTTGAAGAGCAGAAGCGCTACGTGGCCGGCGTCGTCCAGAAGCACAGAGAGACCCTGGACCCGTCCTCCCCACGGGACTACACCGACGCCTTCCTCATCCGGATGCAGCAGGTCAGGGCCGTTAGCAGCAGGGACGGCAGGGCTGGTACTCCTAGGTTCACTGATTGCAAGGCCAGAGGGTCCCAGTGTGATCATCTAGTCTGACCTCCTGTGTAAACCAGGCCTGGTTTGGTTAAACCAGATTAGCTGAACTGGGGCAAAGCCCCCGGTTAGACACACTGATTCTGGTTTAGCCTCCACCTGTTCCTATCTAGAGCTGGTTGGGAATTCAGCGAGAAAAACATTTTATCGTTGAGAAATGCCAATTCGGCAAAACCGAACCGTTCCACAGGAAGGGGTCGGTTTCAAGGGATTTCTTGATTAGAAAAAATTTTGAAGGTTCAAAATTGTCCATAGACCCCGTTTCCAAATGAAAATTTTCAGTTTTCCAGCTGAATGTGACTTTTTGTTTTGAAATGTGAGCTGCGTACAAAGTATTTATTAGATTTTTTTAAAAAAAAAAATGCTCACAATTGAAACAAAACGACCTGGTTGAGTCACTTTTCAATTCATGAAAATTATCCAAATTTTGACATTCGGGACAGAAAACAAAATGTCCAAAATCTCGAACATTTTCACAAGACAGGGAAACTGCTACCCAGCACGATCTAGACCCGCTCGGGTGACGCTAACCCAAAGAGAGCCTGGTTGAAACCAACATCCGAACACGATCCACCTCTGAATTTATCCCGCGTTATCAGAATATCCACCTTGATAGTCCATCCTCCCAGAGCTTGAAATCAGAGCACTCGATAAAGCCACAGTTCTGCCGTGCAAGGGACTCATGACCTCTCCTCTGCAACCCTTGTCTCTAGGAGGAAAACGATCCGGACACCAAATTCCACCATGAAAATTTGATTGTCTCGGCACTCGATTTATTTTTTGGGGGCACGGAAACGACCAGCACCACGCTGAGATACGGGCTGTTGATTCTGCTGAAGTACCCTCATGTCACAGGTCATTTCTGGGTCTGTCTAGGGGCTCCGGCTGACCACGTCACAAACAACCCCAGATCAAGCCCCCACCCAGCAACCTGGGGGAAACTAAATAGCCTTCCTTGGGAACCCTGCATAGGCAGAATTTTCCCCATCCAGGCATTGTATCCGGGGGGTTAAAACAAAGAAAACTTTATTCCTGGGTTCCAAGGCCAGAAGGGACCCCTATGGCCATGGGACGTCCCAGAGAGAATCCCTCTTTCAACTGGAGCCGAGCTTTTAGAAAAACAACCAACCTTGGTTTGAAAATGGCCAGTGAAGGAGAACTCCCCAGGCTTTGGGACGTGGCCCAGGCTTAAAAAGTTGCACCTAATTTCCAGTCTGATTTTGTTGAGCTTCAGCTGGTGGGAGGAGTGTGGGGGAGGGTGGACAGAATAAAATTTAGGAAAGCCAGCAATTAATAAATCAACAGCACCTGTTAGGTAAGATGCCCCCCCAGGTAACTTGACCCCCATCTTCCCCCCACAGCTGTGAGTAGAGAATGAGGCAGGAATATGCTCTAGAACTAACTGTATCCCTCCTCTGCTGCGCCCCACTCACCGTTTGTTATCCAAGGCTGTCAGGGTGCAGAATTCAAGGAGTCCAGACCACAGGCAGGTCCATCTCTGGCCCCTATAGGAAGGGCTACTTTGGGGGCACAGTGAATACAGCACTGGTATCAGCTAAGCGGCTGCTCTGCACAGCTGCAGCCCGAGCGGGCTCCGTGTTTCACTCACATTGGTGCCTATCCTGAAGGTACCTCAGCTCTGTAGTGAGCATTCACATTGAAACCAAGGGTGTATCAGACCCTCCACAAAGCCACACACAAGACACTTTTCCTAACCCTCCTCTTTCTCCCCTTCATGTTTTGTCCAGAGTCTACTAACCCAACCACAGCAGACTGCCATTTGGTTATGGTGACCCCTCACCTTAGCCACATTCGCTGCAGTTCTCTTATTCTTTCGTTTCCCAGGTGGGATAAACATGTTTGATTATCTCCCGACTTAAAACTTAACTGATTTTTGACCAACTTGCCCCAAACTGTCACATGAGTGAAATGCAAATGAGGCATGGCCCATTTGTCCCCATGTTGACCAGCAGATGGCAGCAGAGAGCTCCCACTCTATGGAGCCTCTGTCCACCCGGTGTTCCCAGGCAGTTCCGGGACGCTCCGCTCCCTGTTCACCAACAAGTGTCAGGGCACCCCAAGGGAGAGGAGGACCCCAGTGCTGCCCAGACGCTGCCCCCCCCAAAGAACTTCCAGTCTATATAGCTAAAGGAAGGAAGCCCAGGCCTGGAGTTTTGTCACAGCTCACCCAGGAATTGAACCTACCACTCCTGACTCCAATTTGGCTCTCTTAAGCACAGTCCTTGAAGGACTTCCTTACCCTGTCTCTGTGACTGTGTGTTATGCCAGGCTAGCTGGGAATTGAACCTAGCTCATCTGAGCATTCACCCGTTGCCGTCACCATAAGACGAGCCTTGAATACCGTCGATGGGCTGGCACTTGAGAAATACCAGCACACCAGGATAAGGGAATGGCAGAAAAAGTGACCTTCGGCCCGGCTCAGCTCTTAACTGTTTGGTTTGTACAGAGAGAATTCAGGAGGAGATTGAGCGAGTGATCGGCCAGGACCGCACCCCCTGCATGGAGGACAGGCCCAAGATGCCCTACACAGATGCTGTGATCCACGAGATTCAGCGGTTCGTCGATATCTTTCCTCTGGGCGCTCCCCACTCCGTGACACGGGACACCAAGTTCAGGGGATACGCCATCCCTCAGGTGAACCCCGTCACGTAAACCTTCGTCCCACACCCGAGCTGGGCGTCTTCTAGGTAGAATGGGGCGGAGCAGGGATGTTTCCGTTCTTGGGTCTTTTCAAAAAAGCCGGGGCAAAAAATTATTTCAGGCTGGACCGAAAATGAACAATTATTGAATTTTTGCAGAGAATTGAAACGTAAAAAAAGAGAAAAAATGGTTTCCTGGTGAATGAAAGGGTTTGTCTCAATCTTGCCCGTTTTTAGAGATTTACATTTTTTTTTGTAGTAAAAGGAAATTTTGAAATGAAAAGTGGACTCAGACTGAAAAACAACACCACATTTCACTTCAGAAATATCCAAATGAAACAGATTCCCCCCCTCCCGCCCTGAAGTGACCAATCTGGCACAATGGCCATGGATTCCTGAAACATTTCCGCCTCGCTGTAGCTGCGTTTTTCACCGAACGAAGGGTCGGCCGGCTGCCGTTCTGTCCTCGTGGGGCCCCACTCCCCAGCTCCCTGCGCAAGGGGGCTGTTGGATGGGAATGATCAGCGTGGGGCACCAGCCTCGAACGGGTAGAAACGACGACACAAGGCCCTCGTGTAACTTTCTGGCAAAGCTGCCCTCTAGTGGCTGGTCCCCTCAAGAATAGCTGTAGTTTGAGAATGAGGCTGAAAGTCAGGGGTTCAACCCTGCTAATGACCGGTGTAGGGGGTTGTTACAGTGAAACTGTCATGGTTTAATGAGAGGGGGGTTATTTATAGCACAGCCAAGCTCTGGAACATGGGGCTAACGAACCTTCCTTTGTGTAGTTTGTAGCTCGCTGGGGCAGGGACCGTCTCTCGCTCTGGGTCTGTGCAGCGCCCGGCACAAGGGGGGGCTGTAGGAAGGGCCCATGAGAAGGCATCAAGCCCAGCCCCAAGCAGGACCCAATACCTCTGGGGAGGCAGACGCTGGTCCATCTCTCGGGAAGGTCCATAAGCATCCGCGCTCTTGGATCTGGAGCCGTTTCCACTAAGCCAGGTCCGAACTCTCCCCTCCAGGGCACGGCCGTGTTTCCCATCTTGCATTCTGTCCTGCACGACCCCATGCATTTTGACGACCCGGAGACCTTCGACCCCGGGCATTTCCTGGACAAGGCGGGTAGATTTCAGAAGAACGTGGCATTCATGGCCTTCTCTGCAGGTCGGTTCTGGGCTCCTGGAGAGCGTCTCCTTTAGCAGCTGCATTCGCGGGGTGCCCGCCGGGGGGCAGAAGCAGAGATCCATCTCCATGCCATGCGCGCCGGAAACGAGGCTCTTTGCAAGTCCGCCAGCATAGATCCTGCCCCTGTGCACAGGCCTAGGCACCCAGAACACGTAGGGCTTACGTCACCTGGGCTGGGTGAACATCAGCAGATGAGGGAGGGCCGGGGTGCATGTGTGAGAGGTGGGGGGACAGTGTGGGAGTTTTGAAGGACGGGGTCTCCTTGTCTCCCCAGCCCCCTCCAGACGCCAAGCCAGGGAGATGTTCCCTCAGGTTCTTCACACAAAACCCGCTGTCCCGGGGGCTGAGCAAGGCTCCCAGCTCCCACACTCCTCAGAAGCACCCAATGATTTCATAGCGGGACTCCTTGCACTGCCGTCAGAGCACCTCCTCTGTTCAGTAGCTGGGCAAATTGGAGTCCCCAGGGTCCTCCCTGGAGTCCTTGGCTTGTGTGCGGGAAGCAGAACCCAGGTGTGGTCAGGACGGGGCATTAAACCCAGCTGCCCAGTCCGGGGGTGTCACTTACAGCAGCCTCAGGGCTGCTCTAATTCATGATCCGCCCCCTATGGGCCCTACAGGGCAGGGAATAGCCACAGTGCAGCGCACCCTGGCCACACTCCCGATCCGCCCCCTATGGGCCCTGGGGGGCAGAGAACAGCCCCAGCGCAGTGCCCTCCAGCCAAGCCCGGATCTGCCCCTTATGCTGGCGGCTGTGCAGGGTAGGTGCAGGGCCCTTACACCAGCACCACGCCGGGCAGGGAGGCAGGGATTCGGAGGGAGCCGTTCCTACCCAGAGGGGCCTGAGCATGACTGAGAATCGGGCCCTGGGGGTGTTCATCCTCAGTCTTCTTTACAGGGGGTTACACAAAGGCCCCCAAGCAAATAACGCCCGTGGCTCTTTGCAGGGAAGCGGGTGTGTCCCGGCGAGGGCCTGGCCCGCATGGAGCTCTTCCTCTTCTTCACCTCCATCCTGCAGAGCTTCGCCCTCAGCTTGCCCGCCCGCCCGCAGGACCTTGACACCACGCCGGAGTACCACGGCTTCAGCAAGGTGCCACGCAGGTATCAGCTGCGGCTCGTCCCCCGGTGAACGCCAGCAGTCATGCCGCGGCGGCCAGGCCCGGTTCCCCGGCGGCCTGCACCTTACACCGCGCGTTACACTGGTGCGAAACACTACCAGGGAGAGGCCGGAGCATTGTGCACACGAGAAAACCAGCAGCATGGCTGTGGAGGATCATGCGTGGGTGTGTGTCCCTGCCCTGGGGGCCAAGCCCTGCACATGTGTCTGTGTGTCTGTCTGTGCACGTGTGTGCTGCCCCCTGCTGGACGGCCTGAGCCCTGCTCTGCGTGCGTGTGTCCGGGTCCCCCTGGCGGGGGTGGTGGCTCAGCCCTGCGTCCGTGTGTGCGTCTGTCTCTGCCTGGGTGTGTGTGCAAGGTGCACTAGACACAGTCGCCATGCCCGTGGTCTGGCTGAAGCCGACTCCCCTTCGGCAAGAGAAGCAGGTGAAATACAATCCAGTTTCGCTGTGGTCCGAGTGTCTTTTTCGTCTTGTCCCTTGAGGGAGGAAGGAGGCCGGGGGCAGGCGGAAGCTGGAACGGGCAAGAGCTGAGGAGAGGAGCAAAGACTTCTGGGATATTGCACCACACCCCGGGGGGGACCTGCCCCCTGAGAATCCATCCCAGGGTTTGCAAACAACTCTCTGCAGCAAGGGGCAGGACTTTGCCCCCCCAGTGCCAAGGGCCAGAACCACCTCTGGGCCAGGGCACCGCTGCAGTCCTACTAGCTGCGACTCCCCCACAATACAGACGCAGTCGGTTAGCGGGCCAGGGTGGAGCCGGCAGTGGGCTGGAACTCAGGAGAGCTGGACTCTGTTCCAGTCTTGGGCAGGTTACTGCCTCTCGCTGTGCCTCAGTTTCCCCCATACCCACACGCACCCTTCGTGTGGCTAGGGTGTGAGCTCTGTGGGTGTGTAGAACGTCAAGCGAAGTGGGGGATCCTGATCTCCGCCAGGGCGCCCCAGGCACTGCTGGTGGGGGAATAATAATTACGTACCCGCCGGGTAGGAAGCCAGAGGCCTGGCTCGGGTGGGGTGAAGTCCAACTCCCTGGGAGTGGGGACGGAGGAACCTGAAACCTTGCTACCTGCCCAGCACATAGCAGAAGCTGGCCCCATTCACCCCAGCTGGGGCCTAGCCCCATTAACCCCAATGCAGCTGTGGCCCATTCACCCCAGCTGGGGGCTGGCCCCATTGACCCCAATGGAGCTACGGCCCATTCACCCCAGCTGGGGCCTGGCCCCATTAACCCCAATGCAGCTGTGGCCCATTCACCCCAGCTGGGGGCTGGCCCCATTGACCCCAATGGAGCTACGGCCCATTCACCCCAGCTGGGGCCTGGCCCCATTAACCCCAATGCAGCTACGGCCCATTGACCCCAGGGATGTTTCTTGTTTCGAATGAGCGGGGTCTCTACACACTCGTCAATAGGACACTCTGTGCACACGTCCGCATCCCATTGACACAGCCGAGAGCCGAGGGGGCAGGTGCGGTCGGGCGTCTCCCCCGTGCTGGGAGAGGGACCAGTCACTGCGTCCCCGGGGGGTTTACACTCCTGGGGCCTACGTTTCCTCTAAGCTGCAGCCGCATGGCAGTCTGCCAGCTCTGCGCAGGCGCTCGGGGCTGCAGCGGTGAGAGATGCCTCCCCCCAGCCCCAGCCCTGCCGCGGCGGGGAGAGGGGCCCCAGCCCAGCCCCGACCTGCCCTGGCCAGGGGAGAGCTGCCATCCTGCGGCACCAGCCCAGCCCAGGTGCTGCTGTGGGACGAGCTGGGGGATTCCTCTCTCCCTGGGGCAGCCTGCACCCCAAATCCCTCATCCCCGGCCCCACCCAGCAGGAGCCATTACCCCCCACACCCCAACCCTGTGCCGCAGCCCTGAGCCCCTCATCTGCAGCCCCACCCCAGAGCCTGCACTCAGCCGGAGGCCTCACCCCCCCACACTCCAACCCTCTGCCCCAGCCCTGAGCCCCTCATCCCCACCCCCACCCAGCAGGAGCCATCACCCCCCTGTGACGAAGAGGGACTGTTCTTAATGTTTCCTCTGAATAGTGTGGGGGTGCCTCAGTTTCCCGTAGGCAGTTTTTAAGTCTCTAGGTGGTGGGGTAAGGGTGTTTGATCGTTGCAGAGCCCTAGAGGGCAGGTGTGTGCAGGGGTCTGGACACAGAGAATGGCCGACACCCTGTTTCCTGGCCACTGACGGCCTGGGCCCTTCCCCCCTGCAAGGTGAGAGCTAAAGGGTTGGAGAACAAAGGAATCAGGTGCCCTCCTGGCCCGGGAAAGCAACAAAGCGCAGAGGAGGAGGGGGTGGAGAGAGTTTCAGTTTGGGGCTGGCTGGGACATGGAGTGAAGTGCAGACGTGGTTGTCTGGCTCACTGCCCTCCAAAATGGACCCAGCTGAGGGGTCCTGTTCTCTGCACCTACAAGCTCTGTGTTAGACCATGTTCCTGTCGTCTAATAAACCTTCTGTTTTACTGGTTGGCTGAGAGTCACGTCTGACTGCGGAGTTGGGGGGCAGGACCCTCTGGCTTCCCCAGGACCCTGCCTAGGCGGACTCGCTGGGGGAAGCTCACGGAGGGGCAGAGGAAGCTGAATGCTCGGAGGTCAGACCCAGGAAGGTGGAAGCCGGGTGAGCTGTGTGTCCTGCAGACAGGCTGCTCCCCGAGAGGAGACTCCCCCAGAGTCCTGCCTGGCTTCGTAGGGAGCAGTTCCAGAGCATCGCCCTGGGACTCCGTGACACCCCCGCACCCTAACCCTGTGCCCGAGACCTGAGCCCCTCATCCGCGGCCCCACCCCAGAGCCTGCACCCAGCTGGAGGCCTCACCCCCCCACACACTCCAATCCTTTGCCCCAGTCCTACGCCCCTCCTCCCCGGCCCCACCCAGCAGGAGCCATCACCCCCCGCACCCCAACCCTGTGCCCCAGCCCTGAGCCCCTCATCCCTGGCCCCACTGCAGAGCCCGCACCCAGCCGGAGCACCCACAGGGAAAATGGTGGGTGCTGGTCACCCAGTGGCAGCCCCCCATCAGAACTTCCTCCTCCTGCCATCGCCTCCTGCCCCCCAGGGCCGTACTGATCAGCACCTCCCCAAGGGTGTGGGAACCAGCCTCCAGCCCCCTGGCCAAGGCATGTCGAATTGCCTGTCTCCAGGGGGACAGCCTCCACCGGAGAGAGTGAAACAGAACACCCTGTAGCCCAGGGTCTCGGGGGAGAAGGTTCCAACTTCACCTTCCAGCCCCAGGCCAGGCAGAGTGGGGAGGAGAGCTGCCCACATCCTGGCAGAGGGCTGGAGCGGCTGGGCTCCAGGCGGCGAGGGGAGTGCCTCCTCCTCGGCCCTTTGATGTGGGTTTAGGTGGGCTCGGAGCACGCCTACCACATCCGTCCCTGCAGGTAAGCGAGGCGGGAACGCCCAGCCAGAGGATGTGTGGCTGCGTACTCCTAGAAACTTCGGCGCTTGCTTGGGGACTGCAGGCAGCAGGCGAGCAGGGGGGTTGGAGGATCTCCGGGGTGCCTAGACGTCTGTGCCAGTGTCCTTTTCTGGAGCTGCGTCCTTCCTCGGGCAGGGCCCAGCTTTCTCGCTTTTAGCACCGGCTGCCACATGCAGAGACTCACCTCCACGTGTTAGTGCGGAGGCAGCGTGCGGGAGATCGCCGTTCGGCTCCGTGTCCCACACACGGAAATATCTGTGTGCGTTCTTCGCAGGTCACTGCCCTTCCCCAGCTATCTTGCACGGGTGTTTCTTGGAAGATCATTGCTCTGCTGTCTTGATCATAAGACTTGGCCACATGGCCTGGGCTTAAACAAGCAAACAGAACAGCCTCAAGGACCTGGATCCCAGAACGGCTTTGACACGGGATGTTTTACAATCCCCTCGTGATTCCAAAGGCATTCAAAAGGCCAGCACCCCAGTGACTGGCGGCAAAGTCACCCACGGACTGTCAATTTCTGAGTTGCGCCCAGCTCTGGGGAATACCTACACACCCAAACACCAGGTGACCTGATCATCCTTCCCAGGTACCACGAGATTCAGCTCCTGGAACCCACATCTGAGCCTCCAGCTGCTCCTGGCCACCGGCTCCCTGCGCAATGGAGCTCGGGGGATCAGCCACTCTTGTCCTGGCTGCTGGCATTTTGTGCCTGGCTTTGCTCTGGGAGTGGAAACGGCAGCAGCAAAGCAGAAAATTTCCCCCTGGACCGATTCCTCTGCCGCTTCTGGGCAACGCGCTGCAGCTGAGCCGGGGGGATCTGTTCACATCACTGATGGCGGTAAGTCAGCAGCATGTGAAAATCAACCCTTTGGAGATTCCCAGGGAAAAGCCAAGCGGAGCTAAGGTTGAGGGTCCTCACCTGTACCTTAGGGTAAAATATATGAGAGGGCTGTAATAATTTTCCTACAACCGAACATTGTAAACCCGATTGAGGTTACACTTAAAAGAAATTCAAACATGTTAAATAACCTTAACTTTGTCCTTTGACACCCCTAATACACGTGCGATTAAGTTCAGTGTTTGTGAGCTCAGCAAAGATGAAGCCGATTTTTACAGGCACATTAGAAATGTTTCCCACTTATTTTGTCACAAGACAGAGTTAACTTTAACTCAGAATTTCCTGGGTTTATAATGAGCTGTTATGGGCTAGTTACAATTCCCCTATATCGTGTACTTTACTGTACATTATTGAGATGTATTCTCAACCGTACCTCCATCTTGATGGACTCGTTGTCTGGGAATTTCCACGTGTGTGTGTTTCAGTTAATAATTCCATACATCGACAGTAAACAAGAAACTGAACATGAACGTTACCATGTGATATTTCGGAAGACATCAATGATCAGCCTTCAATCTTGTAATGAAGTTTAAGGGTTGGATCTGCTGGCATGCACTCTCTGCTCTCACCTGCTCCGGAGCCAGAGAAATGCAAAGTAGCCAGAGGGAGTGCATATCAGATTTCCCCTCTGCCTCCTGGCCTTCAGTTACCCACCCCTGCCCAGCCACCTGAGAAGATCTGGTGCTACAAGTAGCTTTTTTGGGGGGGAATACGATTAATAGACACTTTTTGCTGTTTTTCATAACTGAACGGCGATTTGTCAACCGAGGCTGATGCGTCAGAGCGTCAGAAAAACGCGCACAGAATGGCCCTCTCTCCAAAGGGCCCATTGTTCTCCACGAGTGCGCAGCCGGGAGTCTGCCCTGATTCCAAGTCTCCCGGTCCTTTCTCAGCCCAAGGCGAGCTCAGCTATTGTCTAACAGCCATCGATTTTTTAGCCCCCCCTGAGCGAGTGCCATTCCCTCGTTAAAAGGTTTTTCTACGTATATTCTTCTTTGGAGAATGAAGCAACAAACATAATTCCAGTTCCCACCTGAATGCCCAGTGAGTAATTGGCGTCTCGGTGGTGTGATACATTTGATAAATGCTCAGACAATATCATATTGTTTTGTAATCTAGGCAGGTTTTCGCACCACACCCAGCCCCATGATA